AGAGGCCGCCGCTGCAGCCCGGGAGGGGGCTGCCAGGCGTTTCGGTGCGGGCTCTCCAGGGGCAGCTGGCGCGTCTCGTGAGGCGTCGCTCCGCTTAGTTTGCGTTTCCAGACTCCGTCCGACTGCACTGGGCTGCACAGAAAGGGGCGACGGGGCGCTGGGCTGCGTTTAGGGTACGCTGGTAAATGGTTGCGGTCCGGAGGCCTCCGTGTATTAGCGGCGCAGGTTTCTCACCAGGGTTCGTTGCTTTGAGATTAATACCGCCTGTTTCCTAGCGGGAACTGCTACAAACTTAACACGAAGAATGACATAATATTATTAACCTGTAGTTCATTTTTAATTTCCACGAGAGATTTGAGTAATCATTTACGGCATCGTTTTTCTCCTGGCAAAACCCTCGCTCCTCTCAGATAGTCTTAAGATCTACAGACATCCCTGTCACTGGAATCTGAATCTAGATTTCATTGTGGCTTAGAGTTTTGATAAAAGACATTTGAAATCATAAAGTGGATTTTAACTGGTTTGTTTATTGTCTGTTACAGATTTACCTACCAGCAACTATGGAAGATGAATGAGTTTAAATACAAATACTGATGTGTTGCATCAATGAACCTGCATCGCCCTGAGGAAATAGCAGCATCCCAGTTGTAAGCTGCTGTGCCTGAAGGTTTTGAAGCCCAGATTGCCCGCCTGGTGGAAATGTTTCTGGCGGAGTCATACAGATGCAAGCTCTGCCAGTTGACAAGCAGCATCAAAAGTAAGATCAGGACACACCTGGCTTATATGCATGAAACAGATCCAGCGTGTCAAATTTCAGGCTGTCCTAAAATGGACCAAGATGAAAATGAGTCATATAGCATGGGAGATGAAGCTAACCAAGAAAATAAAGAAAACGAAGAAAATCTTGCAAAAAAGATCTGTTTTATTACCTGTGTGTCAGATGCTTCAAAATATGAGTCCTCACTGTTGTGACATGAGCCCAAGCAGTCAGAGCAATAATCCTCACGCCTCTCACTCCTGTGAGTGAACACCTTGTTTGGAGAAGCAGCAGCTCATTTGCAGCTTGAGGAGCCCTGTTCTGCAGTGCCGACTTCTCTTTCATATTCCAAGAGCAAAGATGAAGCAGCAGCCCAGTCTGTGCATCTTGGCCTCTGTTGTATTTCCAGTGTTAGAACTCAGACCTTAGCTGGGGAGATGAAAACCCTTAAAGCCGAATCAAGGTGTAAAAAATTACAAAAATCAGAAGACAGCTAGATGTTGATAGTAAAGGGTTAGCTCATCCTGTGAAAGATGCTTGCGCTTTAAAGCTGGGTTCTGAGAGAGCGCAGCGTTTCTGCAACGTGTGTGATGTAGCAATGAAGTCGAAAGATACTCATAAAATCCATGAAAAGGGTCATGATGTGGATTGTGGCTTTAAATGCGTTTATTGTCCATGACTGAGTGGGACTTAATGGGAAATCATTTAAAATCACACAAGCGGATAAAAGAAACCTACCAGTGCCTCATCTGTGAAAGTGTTTTTATGTCACAAAGTGCCTTGAAAGTGCACAGAGACAGCCATCAGAGGAAACCCCATCTCTTTCAGTGCACAATGCATTCATCATCTTTTGAAACTGAGCGGATAAGAAATCTTCATGTAGCTTGCCATTATCAGGATATGTTTAAATGTCCGCACAGTGATTTTACCAGTAAGTCAAGTTTTATTTTTTTTCCTCATACAGTTGCCTCAGCTATAAACTTCTCTGTGCACGTAACTTTATTTGGTCAATGCAAAATTTATTAGAGTTTCAGTATGAGCTGTAAATGCCATCATGAGAAGCTACAGTAAAACATCTTCATACTGGTTTAAACAAAGAAAATATATGAATTGCAAAAATTCTAAAAAGTGTTGTAAATATTCACTTTTTGATGACGAATTGCAAAAATTCTAAAGTGTTGTAAATATTCACTTTTTGATGATGTTCCTTCATTCTGCAAAATCCTGTCTCATTTTATATTGTGGACTCTGAGTATTTCTAGGAGCAGTTGACCGTCATATTCGACTAATTTCAATATTATTAGCTTTTTAATGGCTCTGTAACATTACTGTAAAGATAATTCTATCAAGGTTAATGCTTTTTATCTCTAAGTTTTGTGACTCTGCTGATAGCTAAATATTATCTCCATTTATAAATGGAGGGCCTTAGCAGAATAACATAATCTGTGTCTCTTAAATCACAAAAGGACATAATTCCAGTATTCCAGTCCTGTTCTCCTTTGCATTGACTACAAATGTTGCTTTTGTACCAATTGTACTTTATTTAAGCAAGGAGGGAAAAACGTAGAAATGTTTCTGTTACTAATTGCAGGTGTTTTACCCTCAATAAAGCCATGCATTTAGTGCTTACCTTCAAGTCTGTAGGTAACATCTTGAAAGATTTGCGTACAAAGGTAGTCTGGGCATTTTTCTGTTTAACCATTCAGTGTTGCAGGTGATTGCAGTGATTGACTGATTTTTAGCAAGGTTTCCACAGCTGCTACTGCTAATATAGACCAAATTCTTGCTGTCTGGGTTGAACTACTGATTTGGTTCTGATTGCTCAGTAAGGCCAGTGCAAAACCAGGTAATTTATGTGAAAGAAGATGATGGCTCACAGGAGTGCTCTGGAGTTTGTGGCAGTGGTCAGATAAGAAAAAAGACAATGTTAGGAGCATTGGGGAATGTGGAATAACAGAGCTTCCTGTGATCTTAGTAGCTAGGCTGGGCATTGCATCTGTGTTGTGGCGTTGGTTTTGAAGGGTTTAGATTAGATTATGTGTTGTGCAGTCTAATTTCGAAGTCTTCTTTGTCTTTGGGATAGGTGGGGTTGTTCTGAGTTTTTACTGTTTAAAAGGGCAGGAGATAGAATTTTCATAGAAGGTTATTGCAGAATTTCTGCAGGAAAAGTGACTAAAAAAGGGTCATTTTTAGAACTAAAAGCAAAATGAGTATCTTTCTTGCTTCACAACGACATGCAGTGTCTCCACTTAATTGTATGCAACTGTAAGTCGACAACAAGGCTGCAGTCCAGTCTAACTTTTTCTCTAAGAGGTTGGGAAGGAGAGCACATAGAAAGACAGCTGAAATTCACAGTATTTCAAAGTAGAGATGGCTACAACAGTGAAAAGATTTATGAGTGCTTATACAAACAATGTTTTCTTAACTGAAAGGAGAACTGTTTTGTATTGACAAATTATAAGTTGTCTCTTGAATGAGTAATTTCCTTCCCTTTGGGGGGGGGAATAAAAAAATCTATCTCCCTTACAACTGTAGTGAGAAAACAACCTGAGACTAGGTTTTCTGGGATATGTTTTTGACAATTTCCATTACGTCTGGGGGCAGTGAATTTTGAAGATTATAACTTACCATTTGCTGTTATGTTAACATATGCAGAAAGTTTACTTAATGTTAGTTTCCTGTTGAAAAATTTAGTAGGTTAAATAATAACTTTTTAAGCTATTATGGAATTGTATATTATAGAATTGTAAATATTTTGCAGTTGTTTTGAATTTTGAATATTGTTTGCATTTTTGTGATAAATATGAGCAAAAGAAGCCTTTCTAAATATCTATTTGACACCATGCTAATTCCTATACATCTTTGAGGTGGAGAAGAAACATTAAAGAAATTGTGAGAAGTCTTCAGCTTGCTAGTGTTTTTCAGATGTTTCATTCCTTTACAGGGAGTTTTACCATAACATTACAAAGAACTATTGTCTGCCAGTTTGTTATGCTTGTGGAGCTGATAAAACGGCTGCGAGAGCCTTCCAGCTTGCTATGGGGATAGTTTTTGAAATAAGTTTTAACTGTAGCTTCTTAGCACCAAGCTTGAGTTTAACTTAATGTCAAGTTTTAGCTGTAATTGCTAACATTATTTGCTACAGTATGCTTGTTATAACTTTTAACCTACATGAAAGCCTAACTGATTAGTGGGGAAAAAAAAGTACAAATTGCTGAAATACTTCGGTGGAGTATGCTGAAGTTTCTTCTTAATTTCGTATTTAGGACAAAGCTATCAATTTGTTGTGCTGATTCTTGCATGTGATTACATGATGTTATTTGTTGTTTACTTGTATAAATTAAAACAGTTGTCAATACTTGTGTAGGCTGTATAGTAGCAGTTTACCATCAGCATCAGGGATAAAGAGGCAAAAGGCCTGAAAGACTAATCACGCTGCCTGTCCTCATTTTTGGTCTTTGAATCTTAAACCTTGAAAAAGAGTTCAGAAATTGCTACAAAGTTGAGTGATTTTGTATTAAAACCTTCACAGGAAAGGGCTAGTGGTCTTGATTGCATTTCCCATTCAACAGAAATCCTCTATGCAAAACCCGCAACCTCCAACCATTACTTTCTCCAGACCAAATTTAGACTGTCAGCAGATGTGCTTAGAAGAAAATGGGCAAGTAAAGTGTATTGCATCTCACCCCGAAATATAATCCTTTGAAGCTTAGGTATTTTGATGATTCCTAAGTATCTGTTCCTTCAATATTTTTCATATGCTCCATAATTCACATCAAAATAACTCCACTGCAAGTATATATTTTGCTAACTCATTTTAAATTGTGGTTTGAAATCTTTGAGAACTGTTTGTTATCCTGTTTTTTTTTTGTTCTGTTTTGACACTGGGGGAGGGGAGTGCATTGAGCATCCTTAGAACTGAGCTAACCTTGCTTTTGCTGCCAGAGCCCCCATGGTCAAATTGTGTCTTCATAATCAATAATTGTTCTTTCTCCTGAAATACTGTGCCTCTCAGCCAAATTCAGCCTCATATTGCTTTAATAAGCACAAAACACTTTAAACTACATAAGAGTTAAGTTTTAACTTTTATGTTAATAATTGTTTAGCGTGGAGAAATATCTGTCTTCTATTTTAAATTAATGCATTTAATGTGATTTTAACCTATTATAACAAACTGTGGCTTTTAGTACAGCTAAGGAATGGGTCAAGGTCTACAAGCATCTGCGCAACCATGGTTACAGTTTCAAACTGCATCCATGTACTGAATGTGAGAGATGCGAGAGACTTTTTTTCCAAATGTAGGTGGATTTTTTTTTGGTTTTTTTTAACTTTTTTATTCCCCCCTCCCTCCCTTCAACAGGTCTCTTTCTTTTACTTTTTTTTTAACTGCTTAGTTTATAAAGCGCAACAAATGCTTTGTAAATACTGTAAACATGTATTGGATTTCTGATTAAATGTTTTAATTCTGTCTGCTTTTATAGAGTGGAGGTGAATTTCCCAGTGCTAAATATTTGCTTTATGCAAGTGTATGTACAAGTAAATTTGTTTTAATTGGTGGAAGAAGGCTTTACCATTCATTAAGCTAGATTGAAACTGTGGTTTGAAGGGGGAAGAGGATTAGGGACTTGTTACAGTTTGCTTGAAGGCGCTAAACAAGGATCCTCATCTTCAAAGGCTGTTGGTGGCGGTGGGATGTAGCAGCTGCATTGAGCTCGCAGCTGAGCAGCTGTTCAGTAGGTAGAGGAGAAAAGAAGATGACGATGACACTCAGTGCAGGGAATCTGGATGCAGGATGAGATGCTTGGGGTTTGGATACGGCTTATTTTGATTTGAGTTTCTGATGGACTTATTCTGGCAATTGATAATTGCTTGGTTAGATAACCAGTTGTCAGTTTAAAAGGAAATTCTTCTTTGTTAAGTTAGTAGCAGCAAGTTTATCTTCTTTCATCAGTCTTTCTTCATCTTAGTGAGAGCTTTATTTCCATCTGCGATAGGTAGAGATTCTTGCTTCATACAAGGAAGACTCTGTATTAACTCACAGTTTTATTGTTTTTTTGTTATCAAACTAGGCCCTTCACTTGGGGGGGGGGGGGGGTTAACACCAGAATTGTAATACTCTGAATGACAGCCAGACAGGTTCAATCTACAACTTAGGTCTTCTAGACCAAGAGTTTGGTCTCTTTCCTCTTTCTGATTTGACATTTAATGATGTCGAAAGTGCACGTTGCAGTTCACAGTTCACAAAGTTCCAATTCCTCAGACCTTGACCTACAAAGTCCTAGACTTGTGGTTAGAACAGAGCTATGTGGAGAGACTTGTCCCTGCATCTGAAACATCAAAGATGAAGGCTGCTTCATGTCTGAAGCTTTTCTGACTTCTGCTTTGTGTCAATGTGACTGGAATAACACCAGAATTGTAATACTCTGAATGACAGCCAGACAGGTTCAATCTACAACTTAGGTCTTCTAGACCAAGAGTTTGGTCTCTTTCTGATTCCTTTTTTGACATTTAATGATGTCGAAAGTGCACGTTGCAGTTCACAATGTTAGAAGTTCCAATTCCTCAGACCTTGACCTACAAAGTCCTAGACTTGTGGTTAGAACAGAGCTATGTGGAGAGACTTGTCCCTGCATCTGTGACTTCTGACTGCTGCCTTCGGTTAATCTCGTTAACTGACGCAGGATGAATCTGATGGGGAAATGTATAGCAGCCTATCAATCAATATATATTTACTCTAGTTCCATCAAATGAGCAATACTTACGGCTAACTTCAACACTTCTTGAATCCTAAAGCAACTTTCAAAGGACTCTATCCAGCTGTGCCTCTTGTGGGGTGAACAAAAGGAGGGGCGGGAGCTATGCATAGTTAAACCATCAAATTTGATTTTGTAATTTATTTTTTAATAATGGTAGAGGCTATACGTCTCTAGCAGCAGTTCTTCTTCATGCTGATAAATATACTTTCCCCCAGATTATGTTAAAGAAGGCCCCTTCCTCTGAAAACAGAAATTAAATGAATTTGACCTATGCCTGCATATCTCTTACTTCTTCTATATTTTAACTGCTTACTTCATATTTAGTGTTATAAAACCGCACTGCCTTTTTTTTACTACTCTAGATGCTCTGCTTTGTTACCAATGTTGCTGTTTATTTAAAAGATACTGTTTTCACTTACCTGTTTTGCTTTTTTGTTTGTTTAAACTGTATTGGCTGAAATTTTTTATGTTGGTTCTTTGCCTCCAACTGATACTTTTCCTTTAAAAACAGATCAACCAAAATGATTCAACCAATTTTCTGGAATGCATATGGGGGAAAACTATCTGTTCATAATGTTTTCAAGTGGAACCAGTAAGACTGTGGATACCTTTTATTTAAAAAGCCCTAATATTCCATGGCTTGCAGGAAAGATCTAAGCATTTTTCAGATGGTGTCTTCTGTTAGAATAGATGAAAGGCACACTCCTGATGCAAAAGTCTGTCGAGATTTGGCCTCTTCACAGCCTCTGAAAAATTCAGTGAACAGTGAAGATACCTTACTGCAGGAAGCTAGTTGTGACAGACTGTTTTAGGGAGGCAGGGACAGGAACTAAGAAAACTTGCCAGTTTTCTTTGGTACCTGGCTGCAAAGGTTTTTAATTCTTTCATAGAGAGCATATAAAAAAACTTGGATACTAAAAAACAGTGGGGCTGGAAAACCTGTGAGAAGTTGCTAGAGGACGTGATGAGATGAGGAGATGAACTCAAGCAGAATTTGGCACATTAGGAAAACTGCCAGTGGGACAGGGCATAATGGGCAGAGAACAAAATAAAGTGGGGAGTCTTGGAGAATGAAAATAACTTGGGCAACAGGGTGGCCTGAAGTGGACAGAAAGGATTTAGAGTCTCAGATACGTGAACCAGCATTAATATAACAAGATACACAATCACTTCTGTTTACTATTGCTGTCATTACTCAAACGGCAATTAATTCAAGCATCAGAGGTTTCTGGTGTATCTAAGGGTTTCAGCAATGCCAGTCGGCCCAGATATAATCCCCCATTGTGAAACCTGGAATTTATGTTTTAACTTCTCAGGCATTTTGTTTCAAAAAATAAAGCCTAAAACATGTTAAAGGTGTTTTTAAAAAACCCGCAAAAAATTCAAGAAAACTCACAATAAAGGTTGCAAAGTCAAACACTCATCACCTGTGTGGGTGGTGTAAAATCTTCAATTGTCTGACTTGACTGTATACAATTTTTTTTTTCCCCCACATGATCCTTCCAAAATTCAGTTTGTAGAATGGGTAGTGCTTCATCAGCCTTGGTTTATTGTTTAGTGAGCATAGAGTATATACACAAAAAGCAATGAAATTAAGGTTACCAAGGCAACTTTAATTTTGGCAATTCCTAATTTTTATTTCTTGGCTTAGCAACCTTAATGAGTTGGGGGTTTGTTTGTTTTTTAATATAGGATTTATTTTGTGTTGTGGGAAATATGTTGGGAATCTACCTTAACATACTAAAATAAATTACCAAAAATGCCATCATCTTTAATGGTATGTGCTGTATGCTCTTAGTTACTAGGCTGTGAGACCATATAGTACGTTGCTATATAAAAGTTCATGTATTTCTTCCTTAGGTCATGTGACATCTAGACTGTTTAGGGTCACTGGCTTCAGCTCCGTCATGACATCCTAACATACACTGTGTTGGTGGTGATGTATTGACCACTGAACCACTCTGAAGCATAGAGCTGGTGTACACTGCATGGAGGGTCAGGTAAGTGTTTGTTTATTCATAATACTGTCTTGAATATACCATCTCAAAAAAGCATAAGAAATTTAAATTTTTTTTTTTTAATGTGTAAATGATCATAAAATTGGCAATTTATTCTCCCTTCCCCCCAGAGGCTCCATAATCTGGCAGGGTTTGTAATCTGATGCTTGCTGTGCCGTCACATTAAAAGGAATTGGCAATTTAATACATAAGGCTTGATGACATGTGGTGAGGAAAAATCTTTATTTTTTTTCTTCCTGTAAACAGCAGTGTGCTGAAATGTCTTACATTACCAAGCCCTTGTGGGGAGCATTTGATACATACTGCTTAAGCTGATGGATTTTACAAGTTGCCTTCAGAGTTGGTGCAACTGTTTTGAGATTGATTCATTTATATATAACAATTAACATCACCTTTTATATCTTGTTTGTAGGCTTTGGGAGGGAGTGTGCAAAAAGAGAATTTTTGGTACTTTGTTGCTAAAATAATTAACTCATACAAAAGCAGTAATATACAAACTATGTCAGGACCAAAAAGATTGAGTCCAATTAAGTGATTCTGTGCCAAATGATATTTTCTGTGGATTAAAGTATTCCCCTTGCTCTGAAACAAATACCGGCTATCTTCTCAATCATCTAATGGGCTTATTTAATTTTTTTCCTAGTCTTACAAAATATGCTATATATTAAAAGTGTATGCAGCACTGTGTTTTTTAAGTTTTTATTTTAGGTTGGAAATGGCTGTCTTTTCACATTTCACTGATCTTGATATTAGTCTTAACAATGTAATTAGAATTTTATGCTGTTTTAACAACAGTATAAGAAAGGAAACTTAATATTTGGATTTTCCTAGCATAAAAATAAATCAATTCCTTGCAACTTAATAGTTATATTATGTAAATATGTTGCTTGTTCATTATCTACATGTGTAATGATCGTTGGAAGTTTAGCTGAGGAAACTTAGAAAATACAACTATTTAAAATGTGCATTGTTAGATAAAGCTTTTGTATGATAAATACATTGTAATCTGGTAAACCCAAGGGAATCAGGTCAAATGAGAGTCCTGAAAATCACGGTCCTCCTTCCTGCTTTGTCACTTTTAAAAAACAGGGATATTTATTGTGGTGGTGAGTGTGTCACACACAGTAGTGACTTTCCAAATGCTATCATTTTTATCGTTATAATTTGTGCTTATTTCACTTTGTTTTTCTCTTTGTGCTGAGCAGCGCTGCGGCAATTTTATAGTGAAAATGTGCATCCAAGAATGATAATCTGTACTTCTGGGGTGGGTGTGAATGGCAGTTAAACATTGCTGTAAGTCATCTGCCTATTCATTATATTTGCAATATGTGCAAAAGTAAAATAGAACAGTTCTTTCCTCAACATTACCTATATTTAACAACTTGGATCTAATTCTGCCCTACAGTTTAAAAAAACAAACAAACAAAAAACCAAAACCAAAAAAACCCAAACAAATGGCTTGTCTAGCTTTTTTTGGGAAGCTATTTTTTTCCCTTTGTGTGTGTGTGTTTCACAAATGTAACACAGAATGATCGGCAAAGTTTTTCTCCTCTGTTAGTGGACTGAATTATGAGGGTTACACGATCTCAAAAGTCCCTCTACAACTTTGTCTTTCACATGAAAGTATCTTACCTCAAATTCTTAAGTCTTTTCAGTCACTGACGCTAATGTAAAATATTGGTTGATACTGTATTTTGGGTTTCTTTTTGAATTAGTTTACTTATTTCTTAATTGGCAATCTAGAGCAGAGTTGAAAGAGCATATGGAAAATCACAGAACTTCTACAGCCCTTCTGTCTTCATTTTAGGATCAGGTACTCAAAACCAGACGTCAGATGAATGGACATCACAAACGAATCCATGAGAAAAAAAAACAAATGAAAAACAAATGAAAGAAGAAAGAAGGCTGAAGATAATCCTACGTGCTCCAATACAAAAGCAACTAGAAAGAACGATTCAAGTTAATTTGCATGTAGTACCAACGGTAGGTATGATCCATATTACAGCAAAACTTGCATTTTGTTACGCTCCAAGTACTTCTGTAGATGTTCATTACAGAACAATTGATAATGTGGCACACTTATTTATCTACTTACTTATTTTCACAAGAAAGTTGCCCACAGATAGCCTGAACAAAAATAAGGTACCCTACTCAAATAGCTGTCTTCTACTTGGTTTGTGATAGTACCAGTCTTTTGAATAAAGTAAGCAGGTGCTGATCAAAAGGTGTTTCTAAAGGTTTTTCTCTTACGTTTTGTTACAAGCAATAACAAAGGAGAGCCACTGAGATGTGCTCTTTGAAGAGCCGAGAGATGTGCTGTGAGACTTCTTGGAATTCTGCGCGTAAACTAGATGAAGAAACGGTGACAGTGTACAGCTTCCTTTGCAGTCATGGCTGCATTTCTAAGAGGCATATTTATTGAAGCACCATTTTTATCAGTTAATGCAAAATTCCACTTATCTGCAGTTCTAAGAGTTAACACTAAGACTTTGTCTGACCTCAAGTGCATCCTCTCTTCCAAAGAGAACCTGAGAAGGCATTTGATGCTTTTCTGTTATTGAGAAAAGATCTTTTTTTCTTTGATAAAGATGATAGTGATCTCTGGTAGCCACCCGTCCACGAGTTGACATCACGTGATATTCTAATAATAGTTTTTCTAGTATTTAGGTAGAGAAGTTAGCGTACATTCTGTTTCTCTAGGTTTCTTCTAAGTATGTGAGTTTGGTTTTGGGGATGTTTCGGGGGGATTTTTTTTTTGTTGCTGTTGTCTATGGCCATACGAATGTCTATTACATTATTAGAAAATATTTTCACAATAGACACCTTCAGTTTAACTAGAGAAATCACTTTCTGACTTTTAAAGTTGTGTATTATAATTAATTAATTCAAACTGTCAGTTTTTTCCCCAAATAGCTTCTTTACCCCACTGTTTTCTAGGACTGAAGTAATTGTCTATACCTAATTTGGATTTCCTGGTTTGAAGTAGTTACTGCTCATGTGGGAATAAATAAATACATGTTTTAGTAGCTTGCTGAAATTGGTGTAATAAAAAGAAAGAAAAAAAGGAATTTGTGTTTGGATAGTCAAAGGCCTGATTACTTGCTTTGCTAGTAGGTAGAGGGTAGACCAATGTGCTGATGATGTACCTTTCACATAGGCATTGGTCTTTTCTTTTTTTTTTTCTTTTTTTTCTTTTTTAATTAAGTAGTCAGTTAACAAGCCTTGTCATAGTCAAAGCACGGTTCAGTCATTACAAATTCACAAAGCAGGTAGACAAGTTGCTCCCATGTTCACGGTGAGGTATTTTGAAATGATTTGTCTCAGTTTTAAAGAACTTGGAGAAGTATAAAGTTAAGCACTTTGCATCATTATGTCATTAAAACAGTTATTTTTGAACCAGTGGAGTATGGCAATCCAAATTTAGTCTGAGGTTACATATGAAATGTGTCATTATCTGATGAACGCATTACCTCTCTGTTTCGGAAGTAAAAAGAGCATTAATAGACTGGGTCTCTGGAGCTCTCCCTGGAACGATGTTTGTAATTACTGCAAAGATTAAGAACTTACTTGAACTTTTGATACTAGTTCTGACTTGAGTTTTGCTGTGCTATCTGTACAGCAAAGCAAACTTCATGTTAACGCGGTTTCTTTCTTACAGCCTCTTTGAAGGGCAAACTAACAAAACTAGCAATTAGCCATATTACCAGCCTGTGGCTGTCTCTTCTTTCCACCAACGGCCCTGACCCCATGGCAGAAGAGAATCTGTTGCGAATCGCAGCCAGTTCAGTTTTGTGTCCCGCAGCTTAGGTTGAATAGCTGATGGCGGAATGGCATGAAGATAATGCTGCTGTGCTGGCTGCGATTCTGAGCGCGCAGCCAGTGCTGCTACGCAGAGCTCCAGAGTGCCAAAGCAAGTAGCCTCATTTTCTCTTCTTCCCGGGATCGTGTCTCATTATGCCTAGATTAAGACTCATTTGGGAAATATATTTTAGAGTCTATTGATACTTTAAAGTTAAAACTTAAAATAAAAAGCTTTTAAACTGAAAAAGATCTGCTGTCAAAAGGTTGAGTTATCAGAGAAGTGTCGGTAAGGGTATGCAGGGAGTGTCTGTTTTCCCGGCTGTCTTGTGGTGCTTTTTCTGTTTTGTTTTTCCCCAGAAGGGGGCAGCAAATGAACAACATCACGCTGGCTTTTACTTTTCAAATGCTTTTTCAGTGTTCCTCTTTGCCTGTAAACATCACTGCAGACTACCTACTGATGTTAGAGTTTAAAATGATGATTTCTACCTAATTTATTTGCTACAAGGATAGCTGGAAGGTATGAATTGGAAGTCTTCATTCTTTTCAGTATTAGGCGGTAGAATTTATTTAGTAAAATCTATTTCAAGTTTATGAAAAAAGCAGTTCTATATGAAGGTTTAAGATCTTTATGAGTATGGCATTAGGTGCGTGTATATTTTAAAGGATAAAATAGCCGAACAACCGAACCCCATGATGTTATTAGTTAACATCACCTGAGTCTTGCTTACGTCTTTCAAATACTTATTTTTCTGTATTTCAAGTTAAATTAATGTAATACTACAATTCAAAATAATGTTCTCTTGGCCATTTTTCTCCCATCAGAAAATAAAACAGAATACACTAGATATAGCGATGCTTTTAATTCACGTATTAATTAATACATTCATGTACAAGGTCGGGTTGTGCATTCTGCTGACAGTGCATGCGAGTTAAAGGCCTCAATTCACAGGGAATACTAGTGATACTAAAGAATATAACCAAATTTTATTGTCTTTTTTCAGCCACAAAGTACAGTTTTATCATCTAAAACTTTATGGAGGTGTACCATATTACTGATTTGGAGTATTGGGTTTTTTTAATGACTATATGGGAAAATGGTGATTAATACCCACCATTGTGAATTTCTTGAAAGCATGTGGCCATAATTCTGTTTAAGTTACAGATCAAGTAGTTAGCAAGGAGCTACAGAGAGAGGGCAGTCTAACCTTTTCAGCTGCTGAGTTTTATCCAATAGTTTATATAAAGAAGTGAAAATCATAGTGGCATCTGTGAAGACCAGCTGCCTATAGTTGGTGTTCAAAAGCTAACTGGGAAGAATGAAACTGATTCCTAACAAGGCAGATTTATTGATAGTCTTGCCTGACTGTTTCATTAAAATCTTGTGTTATAATGCATGTGGGACCTTAATGGAGCCTAAAACTTGATCAAGAGTACTCAAGACCCTTTGGTCTTAATGGGTCGGAATTTCCCACTGTCTCAAACACACCTTATTTACAGCTGAAGGATAAAAGATTAAATCATCCATATTACAATTCCAGGTTCCTTTGGACTTTCGCTCCTTAACTTAGAAGATTGAACCAACACTCCTAGTAACAGTGTCGTCTTTCTTTTCTCCTTAAAGAAGAAAGAAGTTGTCAGTATTTGTGGGGAGTTTGCACCACAAGCGCTGCATAAGATAGGCACTGTCCACAATATTATCAGAATTCTGAAATCTGCATTTAAAGCTATTACATGTGCTGGAAGTAGGCAGCTATGCTTACATGTTTTTTAAGGAGTAATTCAAATAGCTAGAAGATCCGAATAGCTCTACTTTTCTACAAAGCATTTAATCCCCTAACAAAGAGAGGTTGTTCTGTTATGTCATTGTGAAAGACATGTCCTTTAAATGTATGAAAAGTACAGTTTTAATTCTGGTTTCCGTGAGTAGAAACGGTAACAAAGAACATTTTCCCTGTTTGTGAATTGGCATGTTATGCCTTTGAACTACTGTACTTGTATTGGATTCACAAAGATATTGCAGAAATTAGCCCCTGCTTTTTTGGTGTCTGCTTCATAACTAAAAATGTTCTGTCTGTCCTGTAGGAGTTTAGAATCTAGATCTTTGACAAATTTTTTTTGTGATGGTTTTCCCTCTTGAAAGACCACAAATGTTTAGGGAAGAGGAGAAAAATTAATACAAAGAGTTATTCAGAATGGCACAGCTTGCCTTTCAGAGTTGGCTTTCATTTTGAAGCCTGCTGTTTAAGTCCCAGATTTTTCCATATAGGCTTTCACACCTTCTATGCATCGAACACTTCAGCAGCTCCCCTGAGTACTTAAGTTCCCTCGTGCAAGTTAAGGGCTTTTATTCTTTGAGCAACGTAAGCTTTATTTCTCCGGTGCAAGAAAGTGTTAATCCACACAAGTAACTGAGGATTAAATCCTCTTTTGCATCTTTCTTGTTTTGAATACTGTTGCATAAAATAACAGATGTATGATTCACTCTTAATTCAGAATTAGCAGGAATACTCTTACCAGTAGAAGTCTTGAGTAGAATATAAACTGATTTCGTTGTTTTCTAAAATACTTTGTTTTCAAAATAGTAGGACTTTAGTTACCTTCGCAAATGTGTCATGAAAATAGCTATGTCTTCATTATGGAGTGTTTAAAGAATGAGTAAGCCTGTTTATTACATCTAACATGTGAATGTAGTGTGTGTATTTGGAAATAGTATTTACTTAGTAATTAATTATTTACAGATATGATTCAAAAGGACATTGTTTCCTTTTGCTGAGTGCTGATCAATAGTCTGGATAGAGATGTAAGCACCTTTTAAACCTGCTATAGTTGACTTCCACAGGACAAGGATTTTAAAGTTGTTCTTTGCTTATATATCTCCCTTTGAAATTATTGTGTGTTACAGATGTGACTTTACAGCATTATAGACTTGTTTGTGAATTTAGGAAGCACTCATTGTTTACCTGTTGTTGCTGAGTTTTGAGGAACTTTAAGTGCTTAAGGCATAGAGTTAAATGGTTTTGAGGTATCCTAAGCGTGGTGTGGGTAAGAATCTGGAAAATCAAGGAATTTGGAACAGCAGATCTGTGATCTGTGTAGGCCTTTTCAAATGTTTTACAATTTTGTTCCCTAGGAATCCTCTCTTTGTATACAAGCACACATATAATTTTCATATGCATTATTTTTCCTTCTAAATAAATTACACTTGCTGGCCTGAAAGAGTAGCACGTCATGCAATTGAGAAAGTAGAATCTGTCTTTTTCATCCAGACAAAAAAATTCTAGAAGACTTAGGTGGACCATTCAAACATCAAAATACAACAATCCAATATAATCATGTTGCATTACGCAGCATTGGCTGCTAGTAAATTACTCAACACAGCAAAGTATGTCATTCTGGGAATATAAATAAATAGTTGAAAGATAATAAAATAATAACTGAAGTACTTGGTTGTAGATGGGTCTGATAGGAATCTTTGTGCTCTCATCCCTCCCATAATGATGTCAGTCTTTCCTAACTAATAGCTTTAAACAGTCATGATAAAAGGCATTAAAAGCCTAAATTAACACAGTAACTGAGAAATGTCATCCCTTCAGACCACTTACACAGGAAGAATAGATGATGATTTTCCAGCTGTGACAAGGTTCGTTTCCTTTCTGACAGGAAGCCGCCTTATAGTTAGCTCTGCAGAAACACATGGGAACGCATGCTGGCATCAAAGCCTTTCACTGCCAGCACTGCGAATGCAAAACAAGGCTCAAGGCCTCTCTGACACAGCATATGTTAATGCATACAGGTGGATTATATGTATGTCGTCTTTGTGTTACCACTTAGATAAACTGCTTAGGGAGGAAAAAAAAAAAGGTACTGTACGGTTGAATATTGAATGCTGTGTAGGAGTGCTTCTTTCGTGCTGTGAAAAGGACTTTTAGAGAAAAGGGGTATTTTTTTACCTATTGGTAGTTCTCCCTCTTGCGATGAATGTGCAAAAACCAAACACTCTGATCCTGATTTAACAAACAGGCAAATTTTTAACTTAAATGTTTTTTGTGACATTGAGGGATATTGATCGTTAAGGATATGTTTGATTTGCCTTCCTGAATATGGGTATATTTACAGAGATCCTGGTTTAGGATCTATATTCAGAAGACACCTATGTAAAGGTATACATACTGCAAAGACAAGGACAGCTTATGACCCTGGCTCGTTAACTGAGAAGCATGCCTTTGCTAGTTCAGATGGTTACGGACTTCAACCAGTTCATAAATTTTTGTTCCGTACTGGTACTCCATGGCCAGGAAAGAATGGGAACGTCTGCTCAAAACTTTTTAAATCAACTTGCACATATTGGCATATTTCAGGATTTTTAATATAAGAGATTGTTGTTTGTCCACCTTGGCTACATTCCCTTTCATTTTCTGGAAAGCTTCCTGCTTCAGTTTTCTGTTTTAAAGTTTAATGTTGAACCTCTATCAAAGGCCCAGCCTCTCTGTGTCTGATGCTCTGGGGTTCTTTCTGTCTTGGTCAAGTGATTTGTTTACATAGACTTTGCGTTGCCATGGTTATATTAAGTCGATCAGGCTGCCAAAAAAGGCACTTGCATTAGAAATTCTGAATTTACACAGAAGAACGTACTTTGTATCACTGTCTGCCTGGAACTGTTGGATCTGTTCCATCTTGTTGGTATTTAAAAAGTGAAGCCTTTCTCCTTTTTTCTGAACCGAGCATTTTACAGGATTAGAAAATAAGTTTAACTGAATGAATAGGATGGGAACGTGCTATGTTGCATTAATGGCCTTCTGAAACCTGCCACTTGATGTGTGCAGTGAGTGGGTGGACAGGACAGTGGGGAGCCAATTAGCTGCTTGTGATAATATTTAAATAAATCAGCTTGCGGAGAATTCGTCCTATAGGACCTGGCAGCGTAGTGAATAGGGAATATCCGCCTGTGTCCACACTGGCAAAATTAACTTTTCAGCGAGTTGAAGAAACGGAATACTCTTGCAGTGGTTTGGCAGGCGTGCAGCCCTCCGACGCTTGAGCGACGTGGGGGGTGCTCCATCCCGCAGCGTTGGAGCCATGGCGTCACCCACAGCAGCGGAGGAGAGTAGGCAGATGTCTGGCAGGAAACATAGGTGTGAAGGGGGCTGATAGACGTCTCGTGCTACTGGGACAGATGGCTCTCAATCTCATTCATTCTCAATCTCTGTGGTGGCAAGTATGCCATGTCTTCAAAGACAGACATTTGCTCTGTTCTTAGCTTCTGTAGAAGGCAACTGACAAGGCTTCAAAAGGTACAGGAAAAGGAGGGTGATACCCAAAGAAAAGATAACCGACTTCTCCTAGGAGGCTGGCTAGGCACTGTGGCCAGGCACTGTTAATGATATTCAGGTGCATAAGTAGACAAGTGACCAAAAACATGCAAAATAAATTAAACTTTCGCAAAAAATGAACAAAATAAGTCACTGTCTAGAAGAAGGATTGCAAATCCAGAACTGCCTCCTATTCCTTGTTCTGCAGCTGACCTGTTATGTAACCTACAGCAAACATATTTAATGAGTTCTAGGAAGCTGCTTATTAGCTATGAAAATGTAATTTATTATCTAGATATCAAGCCATTGACAACTGCCCCTGAAAATGTCATCAGCTTCTTCCTGTTTGCTTCCCCATTGATAGCTGGGGGTAAACATAAAAAAAATGCTTTGATTTCCACATCATGCTGACTATGCAGTGATCACACAATGTGATATCACCTGCATTAATTCTTAAAAGATAACACTAATAAAACTGGAGCTGGAGAGTTACTTGTAATGACGTTGGTGTGAAATGCTGTCTTGAGGAGAATTATTACTATACCAGGGTTGGTGTTAGGACTTAGATTCTTAAAATATGTTCACTTTTCATTCTAACTCAAATGTATTTATTTGTTTGGTTTGTGTTTTGATTTTTGGCTGCCAAAATGAAAATAGGTTTGCCTATTTGGGGGTTGCACCAAATGACCTCCAGAGATTCCAATCAACCTTGACCATTCTGTGATTCTGTTTCTTTTTTTTCTTTTTTTTAGTCAGTGGTTTCTGGTTAGGTTTGTTTCAGGTTCTCCACTGTAAGGCTAATATTTCAGAATTTTAGTACATCAGAAAAACTTGAAGATAAATGTTGTAAATTAGAAATTGTCAGTGGGAATGTAGATGAAAGGGGAGGCTAGTCCTTTAAGAATGTACCTCTCAATGGTTTTGTTATTGAAAGTCATTGTTTTCCTTTGTGTTTGTGACCTAAATGTTGTCCTTGTTGTCTTTACAGAAAATTCTTTGTGTGTTTTCTTCATTAAGCTAAAATGACTTTCCCTTAATGTCATTTCCTTTTGCTTCTTGAAAGTTTCCCGTTCTGCTACATTTCCCCTTTCTGAGTTGTTTGTTTTTAATTGGTGACATAGAGTACTCTGAGAGTTGGCCCTCTGAACTTTGATTCAGAAAAAAAGATCAAAACTAAATTTGGAAATCATTCTGGCCAGTTTTTCTTGATTGGACTTCTGGTAGAAGCCAAATGTAGATGCAGTAGGTCTCCTACTGGTAAAACAGACTGTAACCTTTAGCTGTCTAGACCATTATCTAAGATCATGCTTCATTAGCAACAAGATCATGTGAAAGATGAGCTGTGGCTTTGAGGATGTAAATGCTAATCCACTGACATTCTTTTGAATTCCCCACGCGACTTTGTGTTCCCATAGAAGATACTACATCCTTTGTATTTGCTTTCCATTTCCTGGTAGGTGAGAAGCCTTTCAAATGTGAGATCTGCTCTTACGCCTCCATTGATGCAAGGTCTCTGCAGCAGCACTTCCCAACACGTGCTAGTGAGAGGCCCTACAAATGTTGACTCTGTTCATATAGTTGGTAAGTGTAAATAATCCCTCTGTTGGACAAATCCTGTAAATCTGTTGGCTTTTAAAAAAACAACAACAAAACCCCACACTTTAAGGTATGTGCTCCAACCCATTAATAAAAGCCAAGTCAATCAAATATATTCCTGTTGGGAGCTTGGCTCTATGAAGGCTTTTTTGTTTAAAGAGATTGCTTTCCATCCCCTCTTTACAGCTTTTTCTGTATATAACTAATGCATAGACTGTGCTGGCAGAAGTATGGAACGCTAATGTGATAAATACAAAAATATCCCGTAGAAGGTGGTAATAGTATCTGTGTGTGCGTGAAGAGGTGCTGGGATTTAAGGTATCTCCAACCCATTAATAAAAGCCAAGTCAATCAAAAATATTCCTGTTGGGAGCTTGGCTCTATGAAGGCTTTTTTGTTTAAAGAGATTGCTTTCCATCCCCTCTTTACAGCTTTTTCTGTATATAACTAATGCATAGACTGTGCTGGCAGAAGTATGGAACGCTAATGTGATAAATACAAAAATATCCCGTAGAAGGTGGTAATAGTATCTGTGTGTGCGTGAAGAGGTGCTGGGACAAGTGACGTATAAAAACAAAAATGCGTTCATTCACTAACTGTATGTCTTAATTTGCTGTATTAGGTACACCATGCTGCTTTTTCACACTGATTTTGTCTCCAGCTTTGCTTGTAGTGTTTTGATTCCACCCTCCCACCCCCACCGATTGAGGAAATGATCACGTTTCTGAGAGTGCTAACACATTTCATTTTGCAGTGCTGGCAGAGTGTGTCATGTGATGAGTGGGAGCATTAGCTAGTTTTAGTAAAGCCTAAGGACATGTTGAAAGTATGTACTTAGCAGCCTTAGAGGCTGTTTAAATGCTAAATTCTTGTATGTTTAAACTCTGTACACTAAATGATGTACTGTTTGCTTTGGTTTTTTTTAAACTCAAAAGGTTTAAACCAAGATAAGCTAATGTCCACAAGTCACTTTCTTGAGGTACGCAGTGATTGGTGGAGAGATGGCTTGATTAGTTTTGTTTTTTTACTTATGTGGGGGAAAGCTTAATTTACTCTGTTTCTTTATCTGTCATAATAAAGGTAATTCTGATTACAAAACTAGTGCTCCTTCTGGAGAGTCTTTTGATGCCAGAATTAAAATCTGGAAATGTATCTATCAAAAGTGATAAGATACCTTGAGCTTAAAGTAAGTTCCTTCTTCACCAAGAGCTTTTCAGTATCTGGTAATGGAATAGCAGGGAAAAAGGCTTTTTCCTAATTTTTATGGCAGCTGTGTAAAAATGCAGAATTGTAAACACGGGCAGCAGAAAATAGCAGTTGGAAAATTTGAGGGGAACGGTAGTGGTGAACTCCAGACTACAGAACGGAACACTGGTAACCTATTACTCTTTATGCATTACTGTAGTAAGCACAAGAAATCCAGTTTCCTCTCCTATCAGATGAGCTTTAGTTATGGGATACAGCTAAGCGTGACAGGGGACTGTCATTAAATCCTGTACTACTAAAAATCTGTTTTTTTAATAAACCATCCTGTAATACCTGTCATAGTATTTTGTCTCTTTTTGCAGTATTACTTTACAAGCATATACTTTTTCATTTATTTGTAATAGGTCAGCCCTACTTACAGGGATCAAAGATTTTATTGCTTGCAAATTAACAATGAGCCTCCTTCCACCAGCCTAGTTTGCCCGGTTAGCTGCACATTAGCTGTCATAATATAAACACTTGCATGCTTAACTTTTGCTGTGGAACTAGTTCCATTTGAAGTTAATAGGATTGTTCTTTAATAAGTTAAAAACTTATTATATAATGAGAGTCTATGAGATGAGGAAGTGATGTTTTAACCAGTCTGTAAGAGTAAATGATAACACTGTCTGGAAGTATTCTTTTCTTGTATGTAAAATTTATACTTAAAAAAATGCTTAGTTCCTGTCTGCAGAGCAGTAACTGCAAATGCCTGCATAGTGTTCCCGACCTAAATAGTTTGGATGTTTGAAATTGCCACTTGTGAAACAGTTTGCCTGAATTGGGTAAATACAGTAAGGTTGGGGTTTTTTTCTTAAGTAATCTATTTCAGGTCTGTAATAGTCTTTAAGATTTTTAAGCACACTAGAATATAACACCCTCTATTTCTGAAATTGTATCAAAAATACAACAAAATGTAGGAATACAAAAGAAGGAAGAAAGAAAGAAAAAAAACCAAACCAAAAACCCAAGCAAACCCAACCCTTTTCCAGTCCCCAAGCATATACTTTACACCCACATAGAACCCATTGACTGATTCAGTGGGCTGTATTCAAAAGTGAGGTGTAAAAGGGTAGAAATCACACATGAGCACGCAGATCTGAGTGTAAGCAAGACTAAGGATGGCATAACTGCAGGGATGAAATATACAGAAAAGTGTTATCTCTAAACTTTTCCAGTATTCTGATTTAGTTTGTGAATTAATATATACTGTTTACTGGTACTCAACTAGAAAAGAGTTTCATTATTCAAGCTCTCACCCGTTAAGATTATTTGTGCTTTGAGTTTACCAGAGACACTGAATGAAAAATAAGATAGTGAAATCTGCAGTGGCAACTGCTCATCAAAATTCAGGATTACAGTGCATTTAATTTTAAAGTGCATCTCTGTGTGTATTGATACACATACACACACATAAATATATATACATAATGAACTCAAGACTTAAAATGTGTATGTAACTGTGTATGTAAACTGCTGTTTACAACACGTAGAGTCCCTTTACTTTAAGGCTTTTGTCATATCAAGAGCTCAGAGCTATATAGAAAGAGAGATGTAAATTTGCTTGAGATAGCTGCCTTGCTTAGTGACTGTGAAGAGTCAGATGACTGCTTCTGATGGCACAGAATCCGACAGGTTCACGTTTTTGGTAGTTTTGCTGTAAAAGACTGCAAGAGGATTTCCTCAAAGTTGTGTGTTCCTGGTGATGATACAGATAGGGATTTAAAGAGTTCTGAGCTGCTTTAATAAGAATGTATGGGAAAATATTTCATCTTTTGTGTAAATCTTAGCTTGAAACCCCAAGTTTTTCTATGCCTGTGTAGTAAAATGTTTTCTGACATGCCAGGTCAACCAGTTACATTTTTTGTTAGGTGTGAGTGGAAAGGAGGGTTAAGGTATACTTACCTGATTAAGCATACTTTAAGTCCAGTCTTTTGCTTGTTGCATTGCTATAAATAACACCACCACCTAAGTACCCCAACCCTGAATATAGAAAACCTGTAAATATTTGCAGCACCAGCCAAGACGTTTTTAAACTGGTATGGTGTATACATTACTGAGTCCAAGAATTAATTTCAGCCAACTTAGTCGGTTGTTTAATCTGACGTCTCTGTGGATCCCCTTCTGTACTCAATGGAGAATGATGGGCATTCCCACAAGACATCTTAATTTCATATGAGACATTACTTAAATATGTGGGCTAATTCGCACCTGTTAGGGTTACTTACTGCCTGCCTACAGGTAACTTTACAGAGGAAATCTAGAAGGTAATACGCCTGTTGGCTAACATTATGTAGGATGAATCCTACTGTAGGTGATTGTTTTAATTTTCCTAGCTCATAGGGCTGCAAATAGTTGTTGCCAAAATAAACAGATCCTCAATATGTGTTTAAGGGAAACCTTAAATTCAGAGAAGCTTGCATTACAAATTGGTAAGTTTTGAAACCTGATTGAGGTTAGGTAACAAGTGCTGAGACTAACCCGCAAGTCTCAATCTGGATTCTCTTATAGCCTGTATGCAGTTGTATTCTAAGTTGGCCTTGTTCAGGGGAAGTGCCAAAACCCAAAGGTTTAGATCCTATATTTGGTATTCCCTGAATCTGAAAAAACTGAGGTTTTGATTAGGACCAGATGATAATTCCACTGTCTCAGGGCAGGACTTAGACCCATAGTAAGTATGTAGCAGACATCATATTTTAATACAGAATGAATCCTTGACAGTATTTGTGTTATGGCTAAGTTCTTTATTTTGAGATATATCCCTTTGTCATAATGGAAAATAGGTAGAATGAAGTGACAAATGCAAGGTCAAAATTTTTCAGTATATTCAGAGTGGTTTGCAGTTTTCACTATGCTGAGCTGGAATTACATGCAGATTCACATGCTTATGCAAATGTGTGCATCTGTGGTGTGTGTGGCTGCATGCTGGTGCAATTGTACCCTAAGGTTGTAAATGCGTAAAAAGTAAATTGGGACACGTGCTTGTAAGAGTTTAGATTTTTAACGCCTGTACAGAGGTTTTATTTTCAAAGAACAGATATATCCACAGGTACACAACTGACACTAAAATAGAAATATTGCTGAAAACATGGTGCAAACTCCACTAACTTACTCCAGTGGTAGGGGGGAAAAAAAAAATGTGTTCTGTTCTAGCCCTGCCACTGGACAGAGCTATGAGATCTTGCTAGGGATGACTTATCCCCTGACCTACTGTTTGGCTATTTTGGATTTGTGAACATTCCAGCTAGAGGCTGGCTGCCTGTGTTTGTGCAGTGCTCACTGCTACTGATGGTACTAATGACTGATACATTTTTAATTTTTTTTACAGCATTCAGAAGAAGCGCTTGGACTTTCACATATGCCGACATCACACTGGTGAGGCATTTGGCTGTAGTTTTTGCTGCTATTCTTCCCCTGACAAACAACTTTTCCGAAAACACGTTAAGAAATATCACCTGGGTTCAGGAACCTCATTAACCAGTTCCCAGCCCACCTTTACCCTCAAATCACTTCCTGTGGAACATTAGGTTCTTCACGCTTAAACTTCCACCAGAGCATCCTGGCAAATAAAGAAGCTGTTGGCATTGTCGGACTTTTGTGCTGAAAGCCAGGGGTTATCGGGAAGAAGAGAAGAAGAGGTCCTTATGTGGCAATTGGAAGCACTTAGGATGGTCTTCCCAAAAAGCTTGGTGTGCGTTATTGTAGAGGTGGTAACTCCAATGTGCTGAGAGGAGCGTGGAGATTTATGTTGCATAAGGGGTGGACATGTTGATTTTTGTTCTGGTTACCTCTCGCTGATATATTCCGCTTACTTACAAATGAAGAGTTTGACATTTCAAGGCAGAATCCGTTGAAATGTACCATAGCTGACAGTGAACCCTGCAGGTGGTTTCTGTACTACATCTTTCATTTTTAATACAGGTCCCTATATAAAACAGTAAATGATTCAAGAAAATCTACTGATGGTGTAGCACTCATAATATGGTAAAAAAAAATCCATTAAATTTCTTCATGGTTATTTTGTATAACAGAATGTGTCTATTATCATAAGCTAATCCAGTGTTGAAGTAAAAATAGAAACTATTGAAATATGATATCAAATAAACTTGACTTGAAAATTCAGTGACTAAAAACATCTGTACCTTATTTAGCCAAATAGAAATTGCTCACTTTAAAAAAAGATTAAATTAGAAGAATGGAATGCTTTCTAATTTTAGGCTTAGAGGACTGGTTTTACTCTAAGACTCCACATTTATTCTTTGACTATGGTGGTTTTGTGGAGTCTGTTATTAGCTATGAATGTTACTCAGGAAATATAACTCTTGCTAAAAATAAAAAAACTAACATCACAGCTTCCTACCAGACAGAAACAAATAGTGACTGAAGTGTGCCTACACTGTTCCCTTAAACACAGTTGTAAAGAATATACTACTTCAACAGGATAAACGTTTCCCTTCAGGTGAGTTTTAGATTTCTTGATTTACAGGAAAATGATAGTAAGAGTTATGTGGAGAGTAGCTGCTGGCAAATTGTAGGTTGGATCTTCATTAAAGAATTAGAGAAACCTTTTTCAGGGAAGAAAATGCTTATACTGTTAGAAACTGATGAGCATCACAGACTTCATCTTCCTCTTGTACAGTTGGAACAGAAAAGGCTGGAAATGCATACCAAACATAAACGCTTGGTTCCTCGTCATCTGGAAGTATAATAGTTGGACATTTGCAACTGAGCACATACGTAATTACTAATGGGAAGTATTTTCTTTCCTTAATACAATTTACATTGCAGCATTTTAGCTTGTTTGTACAACAGTCTGATGGTTCTTTAACTTGACATTGCTTGAATGGTAGGTACTCATTTACGACAACAGCACTGCTTTACTCTGAAGGATTCCAGCAGCTTTCCGCTAACTTTGCATTGGGGAAATATTTTGGTCCTTGTTGATGTCAGGCCCAGAGGATGTTGACTTAACATGTTGGTTTTTTAATAGCATTTAGTGGTAGCAAAAGATGTGAACTGCGGAGGGGCTGTAGATATGTGGAATTTAATTAACCAAACTGGAATTTAGCCAAAACTCAGATCAACAGTTCCAATCTTGCAAAAAGCGCAAGGGGAATTCTAATAATTGGTAAGTGAACTGAGCTTTCATTTTGATGTCACCTTGACAATTGTGGTGTAAGCAATCTAGTATCTACTATTTTACAGAATTTATTCAGTAATATTGTGAAGGATGGTCTATACCACTTACTAAATTACTAGTAATTACGAGAGATTACTGCTGGCAGCATTCTATCCTGTTTTCACGTCTTTCATATAAGCACCAAGCTCAACCTTAGCATTTGAGAACAGGCAAGAGTACAGCTTGGAGTAGTAGAGCTGCAGGCGTAGCATGGTGCAGTTGTATGCCCACTAGAATTTTTAATGTGCTGGGGGTTTTTTTTCCCATTTTTTTCCCCACTATTGTTAGTGCAGGCTGTATAATAGGCCTGATAAGTTAATTAGGAATGGGATCTTGAATATAAAATAAGTACTTTATTTCTTTTTTACATATTTATTAGCCTATTGTAAGTGGGCAGAAATATTCAGTATGAGCTAGTTTACTGAAAAGACTGACTGCTGATAGCAGTTTTTGTACGTATAAGGTATGATTTATAGAGCCAAGTTCTAATCTGTTCTTTATACTAGCCTCAGGCAGTACAGTTACTCTGCAGTAAAGTGAAGGATTTTGGTATGTCCTTGTGAGTGATCTTGCAATATGAATATGACACGGTCTATCAGAAATACTTCCTTGCTCTCTAGAAATAGGACAAAATTTAGATACAGAAAGTAATAATCTTGACCTGTTTCTTGTTTGTTGTGTAAGATATCTTGGAATGCTAGCCTTTTATCAAAAGTCCACACACCCTGGTCATTCAGGAGTAGCTATTAATGGAAGCCTAAAGTGGTTATCATTTAAAACTATAATTTATTATTATAAAATATTTTAAATATAGTTAGATCAGTAGAGAATTAGTTTCTTGTTCAACTGTCACATATATTACAAGTCTTCAGAGTCTGCTTCTGGCTCCAAGCGTAATTTTTCTAGGAATATCTGTGTCAGTATGCTTTGTTTTCTTTCTGTGTGAACCAGTAAACATAAGTGGTATGTCTGTGGTTTTTTTGAGTGTCAACTTAGGCAAGTCTGAGGGGAAACTGAGGTAAGTTTTCTGTGTGACTGTTATAAAGCTGTTAAATGAACTGTGCTTCCTCTTGAACAAGCTGTCCCTTGCATTCCATTTCCTTCTTACTTCCCTTTGCTGTCAGGAAAGATGTTTCATAGAGCAGTAGTTCCACAAAGTGCAGCCTCAGCATGGGTTAGGGGCTGTAACAGAGTTGACAAAGGACTTTGTCGTGTTATATTCAGGCAAAGGTTCTACTGCTATAAATAATGCATGTTTTAATTGGAAACTGCAAATGGAAATATCAGTCTCTACAGGCTTGTTGATTTCAGTGTAATCTGTTAGGGGCGGATTCTGCTTATATGCTGAACACACAACGCATTCACCAAATTTGTGGTTGGTTGTTTTTATTAGTTCCTTCCTATAAATTAAGACAAATGTAATATCTAGTTAATCATCTGGGAATTTCTATTGCCGAATATTATGAAAGTTGCCTGAAACACTATTACAAGACTGGGTACCCACTGATGTAAAGAGTTTCAGATTCCATTTCCCTTAGTTAGAATTAATAGGATCGTGCACTGTACCTACTGAAAGTAAATTTAACTATTAGTAGGAGATGAGTTTAAAAGCAGATAATAAACATGCCCATTTCTTGCCAGATTTCCCTGGGATTAATCACACTGTGCCTGATTTTAGCCACAGGTTTAGGCTTGCAGGCACAATTACTGTGGCTAAGCTGATACCTGGCTAATTCATGAAGCTGGAACACTAATTGCATCTAAGAGGATGAGCACAACTTTTTGTACCATTTTAATTAAATTGGTTTAAAACCACGCCTTAAGGCCTCTTCTAAACATAACATCCTACCAACTTCAATAAAGGTGTCCGACAGTTACTTAAGTGCTGCGTAAGTGTGTGAATACAAATCTGTGTGAAGGCTATTAGTTTGCTTTGGGCTAGATTGATTTTTGCTTTAATTTGGATCATTTGTCTTTGAATGCATTCAACAATCTTGTTTTAAACTCATTTAACAGTGTCAAGATTAATTTTACCCTCCCCCCCAAACTTGCATAACTAGAAAAAAGGGGAAACAGATTGGGGCAGCCCAATATAATTTTATTGCCGTCCAGTTTGGGCACCCTAATCTCCTGCTGTTTGTGGGCAAGCCTGAGCAGCGTATACCTAGAATGCTTCGAAGAAGTAGAATTTAGGATTGAAATAGGTTTTAAGTGTGTAGAACTCCTCAGCGATGTAGAATCCTTCCAGAAGTGACTGAAGGCTGATTTCAGAAAATGCTGTAGGAACACCAGACCCCAAGCTTTGAGTGCCTAGAGCAACCCAGTGTCCCAGCATGGGTATGTATTGAGCTACAGGCGAGCTCGGTGCCTCAAAGTCCAATCCAGAAGATGCTGACATTGAGCAGGGAGCCTTCAAGTTAAGAGGCAAGGCTGAATGTAGGATTGAGTTTTACACCTAATCTTCAGACTTGGGTACCTCTGGCTTGTAAAACTCAATCCTAATCTTCAGACTTGGGTACCTCTGGCTGGTTGTGATTCACTCATGAACTCTTACCTGCTTGTTTGATGGCTGGAGTTTGCTTTGACAAAACACAACCAGGGGAAGTCCTGGGACCCCTACTGCAATTTATTTGCCTGTATTGTACATACCACATGGCGGTTCAGATCACTCCTTTGCACAGGAGAACAGGGTTTCATATTCTGTGTTTCCCAAGAGAGTGCAGAAGGGTAAAACCTTTTGGAAATGGGGTTTTATCAAGTGCTCCTATGAAAGTGTTATTCATGCATGAGGAGACCAGGCTTCTAATTTCTATTCCAGAGAATATTTAAATCTTCTGTATTAAATGGAACAGGGATTAGGTCTCATAGTTCCATGTAGCACGTCTTAAATGCTATGTTGTATAGACATTCTCTTCTTTTTCTGTCAGCTTATAATTACTAAATTAGTCTATGTGCATAGCAATGGTTTCAGATGTTCTTCTAGCTTTATGGTCAGGGCCCTTTCTTTAGGGGTGGTGGGGATATCATCAAGCATAAGAGGTTTTTTGAATTTTTCCTTCACTGAGGTTAAAAGCAAGTCGGGGCAGAAGTTAGGCAGGGAAAAATACTTGTGTCTCATGCATCAGTCTTTTCAAATATACCTGTCCTTTTTAGGACAGTAGTAAAAATAGAGAAGAAAGGTAACTTCTTTGCCTTCTTCCCCTAGAAGATTTTTCTTGAAAACAAATTCAGGATAGCTAATAAAACTAAAAAGGTAGGAAGGAGAAGCGTGACTCGGATGGAATTGCTCAAACCTGATTTTTGTTGGAGGACCAATAGCTAAAGCATTAACTCTACATTCTGCAAGGTAGTGCATTGTATTAGTACGTTATTCTTTTCCTGATCATAACTAAACAGGACTTAGTGATATACATGATGTACATTCTTGGATTGCATTGCTTGAAAGCATGTTGAATAATTTTTCCAGTTTATTGAAAACCGAAATCAATGTTTTTAACTTGACATTCCTCTTTTCAAAGGTCATTCTGCATATAACAGGAGATGTAAAAGGCCAACAGAAATAAATTGGCTACAGACACAGCATCAGCATCGGCAGAAAATATCTCAAAAACATTTATGGATTATGTTTCCGCATTTACGGTGTATTGATTATTTTCACAATAAGCAGCTGCCTGTGGACTCTCAGATCCAGAAAACATGTGCCAAGAGGTGGCATGTGAAGGTGAACCAACAGGCATGGGGTAGGTGAAAGTTCCACGCTGTAAACTGATACTCAGCGTTCTTTTGGGTCATTGCCTTGATAACTGCACACCCAGTGAGTAATACTGTCATATAGCAGTGACAAGCCAGTATCGCCCAGGGAGAAGGAAGGTCTTTTTGTGTTCCTAACCAGGCATATTCAAAGGTAT